AACGCTAATACGTGATCGGGTTCAGAGGGGCATAAAGAGCTCTTCCGCCCAGCATCAATTATTGCAGCAATTGACCAGCTTAAGAAAGGGGGCTGAGGGTTATGATGCTCTCAGCTGAGCTAATGCGCGATCGGGTCGCCAGCCTTGAGAGGGCTAACAAGGCAGCAACAAAGCGTAGGCAGCGTAAGAAGAAGCGGATACAGAAGCAAGGAGTGCTAACAAAGGGAGCTGGAGAGGATCTACTCGCTCAGCGCGAGGCTGATCAGCAGATTGCTCATGAAGAGCGTCAAGGAGGAGAGCGATCAGGTGTCAGCCGCCAGGCTTTAGCGCGCTGCAGTAGGTGTAGGGAGACTGGCCATAACTCTCGTACGTGCAAGAAAGATACTCTAGGTACTGCTTAATCTATTATGTTAATATATAGTAAAACAAATATATTGTGGTGGAGCTACAGGCTTATAGAGGTGCGCAGGTTTGGTGGGGTGCGCGACTCGCTTGCCTGCGCGACTCGCTTATCCACTACGTTAGTTAGAACAGCCTCGGCCAAAGTCTTACATAGCCTCGAGCTCACTAGACTCTAATGGAACAATAATAATAATACTGCATAAGCAGTGAGCTTATCTGTATTCGACTATTTGCGAATATGAGCTATCGCAATACCTACATTAGGTTAGCATCGCTATCTAAGAATAGAGGCTCCTGCATACTGTGTTAGCTCTGGCTTCGAGTCAATATGTGTCAGAAATCGAGGTTTCTCAGCAAGATGCAAGCGGCAAAACCCGGCAATCAACACTGTTGGACGCCATTGCTAGATGCAATGATGCTCTGTTAACTGCTTTTTCAGCCTTCGAGAACCAGTCAATGCGTAGCATGTAGCTGCTTGCCGTGAAACCCCGCATCTTCTCATCTTCTCCTTAAGCCTCCCACATAGCGAGTTCATTCAAGTCGAGAATTGACTTTTCTATTCTTTACTCTGCAGAAGCCCTCCAAAATCTGTTGTGTACAAATGGCTCCAACCTTCGAAGAGTGAGTTTTGTTTGTATTGCCGACCCGGTTGAGCTAAAGTTCGACAGCTTTATCCAATCACCTCAGTTCACCTTCTTCGTTGGCCAAGAGGGAAAGCCTGTCGTCGTGCATGCGGCTGCGGTTGCTGCTACTAGTCCGCAACTAGATGCACTTGTTAGTGGTGGAATGCAGGAATCTGAAACGCGATGTGCGAGGATCGAAGATGTCAGGGTTGACGATTTCATCCGGTTCTGCGAATACACTTACCGCGGGGACTATACGGTAACCTCCGTGGGAAGAAGTGCTACTAGGACCGCGCTGTACACCTGAGAAGAACGTGCAGAACGACGACAATGGAGTGGCTCCTACCTGGGATAAATCCCTGCTGCACAAGAACCTCCTTCCATGGAGTGTTACTCCGAAGAAACTCCGGCATGCGACGAACCTGCCGCCCAGCCAGTGTTTGAGTCTCGATACGTAGAGAGGAATATCTCAAGAACCCCATTACGCACTCAATTCAATAGCCGGAACTACCTAAACAATGGCGGCCCCAAAGATCTCATCCTGCAGCACTTCGAACCCAAATCCAATAGTACCGCAGACCAAAACTTCACGCCAGTCCTCCTTGCTCACGCACGGCTCTACTGCTTTGCGCATCTACGTCTAATAATGCCACTTAAAGCGCTAACCTCTACAGAATACATAAGACACTGATGAACTTCAAGTTGTACATAAAGCGCGTTGGAGATATCATTGAGCTCGCAAGATATGCGTACTCGAACCCGGATCTGCCAGACAGAAGCGACGACGGAACTATCGACGACTTGAAGAAACTCGTGGCTGAGTATATTGTGTGCGAGATTGACATAATCGGAAAATGCGATGAATTCGTCAAGTATATGGAAGAAGGCGGTGAGTTTGTAGGAGATTTTCGGAGGACGGTAAAGGACTATGTGGCTTGATGTAGGTGTACAGTAATGTGATTTTTAGAAAATAGGGGCGTAGCCACAGCCCATAATTTGTGCAGGATTATGCTAAACATCCATGTGGTTTTGGTCGGTTTAAGTCGAAGTACCCCTCATGTCCCTTGGCATCGTAAATTTCTCCGCACGTAGGGATGGACGTTATGTAATTGTATTAATACGAGCCGCGCAACGCGCTAACACACCCTGATCGCCCCCAAATGGGATGGGGCCTGTATTACGAGGAGGACTCAAATGTTGGCTTGATGATTGTGGTGTTCGTTGAGAAAGTGGCACTCGCTCCATCTTTGTAGGAATACTCTGAACAAAACAAGGTCATGATCTAGATGTTAAGTCATGAGTTAGAGCGGGGCTCCGCCAAGATTACCTAGGCGCCGGCGTTCGGCAGATCTCGAGCTGTTCAAGACGACCGGCAATAGGTACTCCGGCTAATCCCTTAATAAAGGCGGGGTAACTTAGTAGTCGAACATCGTGTAGGGAGAGTGAAACTCTACGGGGTAACTAGTAGTTATTTTGAAATTCAGTGAAATCAGACCTGATTGCCACTCTACTATTACTCCGCCGGCAGACTTCTTGCAGTTTCTATATCATCGAAGCTCTTGAGTTAAGCTTCTTGCTATCAAAACCGAGTCAAAATGCAGACGAACCAGCCCTTTGGAAATTTACTGCTCAATCTTCCAGAGTGAGTGTCGTCTTGTTTCGATTATCAAAGCAGTTGCGCGTCCCTTAACATCTCAAGGTATTATGATTCTCCAACGCTATCCGATGGCACCATAACATGTGATGGAAAAGAATTTCGAATCCATAAGATCGTGCTTTCTGCTCAATCGAAGTTTTTCTTGAACGCTTTCGAGGGGAAGTGGAAGGTACAGGTTATCGCTATCGCAAAGCCACTTCTGACGATGCGACTGTAGGAGTCTGTGGAGGGTACTATTCCTCTAAACGATGACGACGTCTCCGCTGTCGAAGCGATGCTTCGATTCTTGTACTCATTTGACTATGATGCTGGCGGGGGTGCGACTGATGTTGCTTCGCCGATGGTATTCAACATCAAAGTGTACAGCACAGCAGACAAGTATGATATTCCGGCGTTAAAGTCAGTCGCTAGCCAAAAGTTCAAGGCATCAGTCAAAACCTGCTGGAACATGGACGACTTCCCACACGCTGTTGCGGAAGCATATGGCTCTACCCCACCAAACGACCGAGAGCTCCGAAACCTGATAGTCGATGTCGCATGCGAACACATTACAGAGCTCCTACAGAAGCAAGGGTTTTGCGACGTTTTGGGAGAAACTATTGGCTTCGCTTCAGATCTGGTTCAGCTCCAGGCAAGCAAAAAAAGTGTGGCTAAAAAGTCGGACCAAACTAGGTACAGGTGTCCGAATTGCTCTGAACATTGGGAAACTGTTGGGTCTTCTGGATCTGGGTACTACTGTCCCTATTGTGGGAATCATCGCTCGAACTGGAGGTCATATATTGTAGATAACTAATATGAAAGTCTCTTGAGGCAACAGCTCTTGTATTCTTCATCTGAACTTTCTATCACAAACGCCGTATTGTTCCATCATTACTAGGTTGATTTATCTTTCCTAGGCGAGAAAGAGGCGTCGGTTTCATTTAGCTCTATTTGCAGACTATGATTTACTCGCCCTCTACTAGTTAACTAATAAGCTGCCCGACCGGTTCAATAACACCTCCTCCAGAACCATCTAGGCAGACGCAATATCCCGCTTCATGATCGGAGGTCGGGAGAAACAGACTGCCAAGTAAAGTAGCTTTCGGTAGGACGCCACGGACCGCTACTAGCCTCGCAAATGCTAGGGGAGACTTGATAAGCTGTGTTTTTAGTGGCGGATAGTTCGCCGCCACTAAGGTGTAACACAAGCATAAGCAAGCAACAAATGACCTGCACTGGTTTCAACCTAAGTTCCAGCCAACCGAAATTTGCCACATGGCTTGCGGCGACTGTACAAGGTTAGGTCGGAATTAGGACGTTGCGGAGAGTGGCCTCGCTCGTTTCTGATTCGTTGTCCATCCTCCAGAAGTTTGTTCCGCCGGTCATAATTGAGTGGAGAATTGTATTAACATGGGATAGATTATCTAGACGGAAACTAACTCGCTTTAACGTTGAAATACTAACTTCCATAGAAGTACGCTTCGTATGCTGCGAGTAGTTTCTTTATTTAGAAATGGATGAGTCCATGTCTGAATTCGAGCCTCCAGAGACGCCCGACTATTACGCGGATCTCGGGCTGCAACAAAATGCAACACTCCAAGAAATAAAACGGGCGCATCATTCGCTCGCGAGAAAGTATCATCCAGATAAGCAAGGTCTAGGAGGAGTGTCTGTCGATGCTCACGAATTCCGCAAGGTAAGTTCGGTGATTTCTATACAGCCTTGTCACGGCATTGTGCAATATCGTTAGAATGATAGCTAATATAGTGTTATGCTTTAGATTAGAGAGGCCTTCGAGTTTCTTCGAGATATATCTAATCGCTCCAGATATGACATACGTTATGCGCAGTTGCAACGAGCATGGGCCCAATACTACGCATGGCGAGAGATTCAACTGCAAAATGAACAGCTAAGACGAGCCGAAGAGATATCACAGCAGAGAAGAACAGCTGAGGCCGAGATGACACGTAAGAAGGAGGAGGAGCAACGAGTCGCAAGAGAAAAAGTAGCGCGTGAAAAGAAAGCAGAGGAGGAAAAGAAGGCTCGCAGAAGGGCGGAAGAAGAGCAACTCGCCAGAGAGAAGGAAGAACGCAAGAAAATAAAGCAACTGAAGGAAGCGCTGGCGGAAAAAAGATCACAGGAGGCGGCACGAAGAGCTAGGGAACAGCAGGAAAATGCAGCCAGAGAGCGGCTGCGCAGAGAGAAGGAGAGGGAGGCAGAACAAAAGTCTGAAGACGCCGCTATAAGGGCCAGGCAAGAGCAAGAGGTCGCCGCAGAAGAGAGACTAAAGACTATATTGAGGGAAGAAAAGCATAATGCTATTCGGGAGAATTGGGCGAGGATGCGAGACGCCGCTGAGCTTCGACGAACAAGGCCAGCGCAACCTAGGACTCAGGGTCACATAGAATGCGACCATCCTCGCCTAGGCTGGCCACGGAAGAGAGGGAAGGTGAATTGTGTCTTTTGTGGGGGTTTTTGTAAAACATATTCTTTTAAATGCCCTCACTGTGATATTTCGGCCTGTCAAGCATGCAAGACTAGGTACTGTATGTACTAAGCAAGCCGGTTAACTATTGAATATGAACAGAATGGATCCTGATGGGACAATCATTCTAAATAGTGGGGCAGCTGAAAACAGCAGATATATCTCAGGACTTCGCCAAAGGCTCGGACCGACCACAGGCTCCAGCCCTGCGATGTTGGAGTCTTTGAAGACAGCCTGTCGAGGCAGAGTTAGCGTCATCATGAGACTGAAGATTGGCCAATCATGTTGATTGCTCTGCAGCTAACTGCTTGCGCTAAGTTATGTACGGAAGGTGGGGCTGCTCAAAATCGTTGCGTATCTGCGTGTAGGAGTGAAGCCGCAATCGCTAATCACTGCACCTACACGTACGCACACTGCATCGTTTCTTGCCTACATGCTCACCGTTTCGAGTTGTTCTACCAATGAATTCTTCTGCTGTTCGGGAATGAAGTAACTAATCATGTCAGTTGTGGATGATGTAATTACGTATTGCTACGATCCAATTGTCAGCAGCAGTAAGACAGCCAAGCACCGTGCCGCAGTGGTCAGTGCGGGTATCCAGACTTTGTATCACACACCGCGCCCCCAAACATGAATCTTTTGTGCACCGCTATCCAGCACGGATGCTCTTAACGTGCAGCACTGTGTTGTTACGGAGCTGAAACAGTGATCTTGACGGCTCATTTATAGATGATCACGAAGGCTAGGGTTATGAATCTTATGATTCGCAAATCGCCTTAAATGGAATAGTATGTTATGTAGCTGCGAATTACCCCCATCTGGTGGTTCAGATGCGGGGTAACAGTCTATACGAGCTAAGCATAGCTGGCCACCTTATCAAACCTGACGTAACTTTGTACGCAATAGGTCTACCACCACGTGATACATAAGATTGGGGGCCTGTCTGGTTCCGCCAACTTCAACTCCGATTCAGACTGTGATACTGCCGGCAAATCAGCACTAACGTGGTGAATTACGGGGCTACTATGGCCGCTAAGAACTTCATCCGCGATCTTTCAGGGTAGGTTTGTATTTTCGGGGCATCCCAAGGCAAGGAGAGGGCAACAATGGCTACTGCAGCCTTGGCCGCTAAATGATATTGCTGCTAACACGTTAGAGATATCTTTTTGCGGGTAACTTGTCGGATCTCACCTTGACCTTTGGCGAGAAGAGCTGGCAAATCCACAAAGCTCTCGCGTGCTGTCACTCTATATGGTTTCAGAAGGCCATCACCGCTGGCTTCGAAGTAAGTAATTTGAGCCAAAAGCGGAGCTTTAAGTAGTTAACGCTATGTTTTAGGAATCTCAGAGCGGAGTGATAACCTTGAATGACGATTCAGAGTTTGGCAATGCCATTGATTGCATGGTGTCATATTTCTACAATGCCGGCTACAACGCCTCTCAATACGACACGTCTGAACCCCTCCTTCATGCACAAGTCGCTATTGTTGCTGATAAGTACGACTGCGCATCGCTCTACAAGCTTGCAAGAGCTTCGTTCGCAAATGCGGTAAACACGATCGAGAAGCATGACTGGATTACTCTTGCTACCTTTGTCTACGACCATACGATGATAGACTGGCTGCCTCATCAGAATTTGCGGGATTTGATCGTCGCTGCCGTTGCAAATCGTCCCAGTGTGTTGAAATCGATTCTTGAAATGGAAAACACGCCAGGACTCCTGCGTTCAACTTTGGATCTAGCAACTGATCTTCTACTTAGTAAGCCGAATATTTCTAACACAGCAGGCGCTGGCAAAAACATTTTCCAATGTGGCAAATGCCAGTATGCTCATGTGGGATCGAACGAGTGCGCGTACGTGATATCTCGGAATAGCTTCGCGTTTGTCACAGCTTGCCCAGATTGCGGGGGTCAAAGCGGAGTGACGTCTAATCGACGCACATACAAAGTTGGGCTAACTCAATTGTTTCCCTGTCCTTCTTGTGATGGAACTCATACCTTAGAGTCTGTTCCTGAGGTGCAGCCTTCCTCAGAACATTCGGATTCACATGATTCGGAAAATTCAAGCGACTGAAATATGTAGAAACGGAAGACATGTTCCTACTTCTGCGATCTAATTATTCAAAAATCGGTATGGTGGAGTGAATGGTAAGTGGAATGCGGCCATTCTGTACTTGAAGCGTTCTATAGCGACTGGGTGTTTTGCGAAAGGTTCTGTTTGCATTTGTGCTATGGGTAGTCTATATGTTCTTTGCAAGAGTGTTCAGGAACGGTATTATGTATTCACGCCTGTAGGATTTTGCTTGACATACAAGTCAGTGTAATAGTTAATAAGTGTAAGTTAGCTAGATAAGTAGTGATTTTCAGTTATGTCTCTCATACTGTGTCATGTCAAAAGCGAGTCCCTTTCATTACCTGCCTAACAAATCTGGTTAAGGTGGAAGCGGTAGTGCGTACTTGGGTATGATTCGACGCTCCACCCATAAAGGTGCTGATATAAATGGCGTATAATCATAGGGCTTACGGAAGCATAGTTCAGTAGGGTGGATTCCTAGAACACCAGAGAAATGCATGATAGCGCTACGGCTCATGTTTCCATCGTGCGACAGGTCCGTCCAGAACATGACAAGAAGTTGGAACAGACTCTCATAGACACTATCCAGCGATGATGGTTGGAGCAGTACCCCGCAGTCTGCCTGCTGGTTAACTATTGAAAGACGGCTCCAAATATGGTTCATTATGGCGAGCTGAGCTGTAGTTAGCTGCAGTCCAGAGATTTCGCTTGTAGGCTCCTTTATGCTACGCGATAGTGCCAGCATCCGGAATATATAGCATAGAAACCGCTCATGGATAGCGTAGTATCTCCGCCGGGTTTGTTCGCGTTGATGCAGCTCAAAGGGATAAGGAAGGAAAGAAGGAGTCCAGCTCCGAAGCCAGCAACGCAGAACGCGCGGTGTCTGTTTGAGCGTCATTTCGCATCGTTGAAACACAATCTTGCTGGCCTCTAGTATCTTCCAAATAAGCCTCTCTGTCTGTGCTGGGCTCACAAATTCGAAACCATTCCAAAGGCCTAGTATACGATCCTCTGATGTTCTCGCGGAGGGCAATGCTGCAGCTGCGACGATAACATGGATAGGCTCTTGTGAGCGAAGCACGTCGGCCATTCACAGCCTCGAAGCCTCCCAGTATTCTCGTCATGCTCAAGCTCCGCGTCTAGAGCTACCACGTCACTCTCGCCATTAAAGAGCTCTTCTTCTTCTTCTTCTTCTTCTTCTTCATCCTCCATCCGCACTAGCTGTTCTTCTTCGCTTGTAGAGTACGGTTGCTCATAGGTCGTTTGCTCCCTAGAGCTGCTATCTTGGGTTACTACCCAGTGAAGATACGAGAGTGGCGCGGATCCAATCTAGCGAGGCACTACATAGTAGGCAGCGTTCCAAAAGTCCAGTCATCAGAAGATCGAGGATTGACCAATCACACCGATGGTTGTGCTGCTGACTTGCTGTACTAAGCTACATAAGGAAGGTGGAGCTGCTCAAATCCGTTGCGCAGCTGAGCGTAAGGGTGAAGCCGCAACCGCTAACGACTGTATGTACATATGTATGCAATGAGAAGATGCGGGATTTCACGGCAAGCAGCTACATGCTACGCATTGACTGGTTCTCGAAGGCTGAAAAAGCAGTTAACAGAGCATCATTGCATCTAGCAATGGCGTCCAACAGTGTTGATTGCCGGGTTTTGCCGCTTGCATCTTGCTGAGAAACCTCGATTTCTGACACATATTGACTCGAAGCCAGAGCTAACACAGTATGCAGGAGCCTCTATTCTTAGATAGCGATGCTAACCTAATGTAGGTATTGCGATAGCTCATATTCGCAAATAGTCGAATACAGATAAGCTCACTGCTTGAGCAGTGAATGAGGCTTCGCGTCAGCGCTCATCTGTCAGTGCATAAGCATGCTAAGAGGATGATCCATTCGCATAAGCCATCTTGGAGAGTGGCTGTAATTTTCTCCTCCCATGCTCCCCTGCTACACATGTATGAAATCGGCCAGTGGTATGTATATAATGGCCAATAGCGGCGATTGCGTTGCAGCAACGGCCGAACCCGGGCCGTATATATGTATGCAATGGCTAATACTGTCATTAGCGTTTGAAGCTTCACTCAAGTAATTAGACAGCGTTCCAAAAGCCCAGTTATCAGAAGATCGCGGATTGACCAATCATATCGATTATTTTGCAGCTGACTTTTGGCGCTCAGCTACATACGAAATGTGGGGTTGCGTGTACAAGTATGAGTGAAGCCGCAATCACTAGTGACAGTACATGCATAATAGCTACTGTGGTGCAAAAGCTGTTGAGACTGGGCTGCAAGACTACATATGTACTGCAACCGCCCCGCGCTGCAACTGAGGCCGAGTGCGATATGGCTGGATCACGACCGTAATCACTTTGAAGAGTAATCACGTCGGCCCAGCGGATGGGATGAGCTGTGCCGCATTTGCGCAACTGCTTGCCAGTTAACTGCTATAGTAGCGTATATGAGATTTAGGCATGTTTAATATAACTTTCGACCACACCGTGCATGGCCGTACTCTTGCAGCATCTTGACCGCCTGTTGCACGCCTCAACAGGCAGCTTGCAGCAAGAAGTGTCATGATTCTGGGATCTTGACCACGATTGGACGAACGCGTTTCACCGGTTCGCGGGGATCGAGATAAGCTAATAACTCTATCCTAATGTTCAGATCCTTGGCCATCTGATCTAAGACGTTTATGCACGTGGCCACCGTTATATACTCTCGGGTGTTAAAAGGTCAACACTTAGCATTCAGCTCCGCTAACCTCAATGGACCGTCAACAGTCTGGACGTATCGTTTCTCTCAAACATTAAACTTGAACACTGTTGCGTGCCACCCCATCTCCGAATAAAAGACTGGGACTACTTAACACAGTTTCAACAAACTCTCGTCACGCATTAAAGTATTCTATCTAAGCATCCATCTAATTGTAATTTCAACACTCATCAATGGACGAGATCAACATAATATCGGGGCGTGAAACCCCAAAAGAAATAGGGCCGCATCTGGACCTTCTCACCGAAAAAATTGCTATCGACTGCGAAATGATGCAGTCCAACATCGGCCAGGTCCTTGGACGCGTTTCTGTCGTCAACTATGACGGCAAAACCATATTTGACAGCTTCATATGCTACCCCGAGCCGGTCAACATCACAAACACTGATGAACGGTTTTCTGGGATTCGCTGGGCCGACATCGATCCGCAGAATGGAGCCAGGTCTTTTTCTGAAGTCCAGGCTCAACTGAGCGAGCTTCTTCGTGATAGGGTGGTGATCGGCCACGATATTGAAAAAGACTTGAGGGTCATCACTATGAATTTGCCTGCTCGCCTTTTGCAGCTTCAAGGCGTTGCCCGTTCAGCCACTTGTCTCAAGTTCGACATATCAGTCCGCGATACACAAAAGTATAGTGGGTACCGCAAATACGCCAATCCTGGTGCTCACCAGGGCCCCAATCTCAAGAATCTGGCGCTGGAGGTTCTGGGTCGCTCAATTAAGCAGGGTCTTATGTCGAGCGTAGAAGATGCGGTGGCGACCATGGAAATATATCGCAAGGCAGAGGTGAAGATTGATCAGGAGCAAGAGCAGTAGCATTTTTGGCTTGTGCGAACACGCAGAAATAGGCTTGCACGTGTAATATGATCCACACTGAACTTCCGATGATGTCTTTTAGTATCTGACGGTATATGAGGTGAGTCTATATTGCTTGTAGTGCAACACAGCAGCAAGGTGATAGACGAGTATTGTACGGTGCTTGAGAAACTCCTTATTTTTCGTAAAAGAAGGTCCCAAGTATTGCTTATATCAACCGTAATCATCAACGCTAAGCTTCCAAGGCTCCACCCCTCCAGGGAGCCATATCCTCCAGTCTTTACGTAGTCCGCGCATATGGTAGGTCTGTAATAGTATTTTCCGCTGGCGTGAAGCTATTATACCATAGTTAACCTACATGATAACATTGCTATAGCGCTCCTAGCGGTCGCATTGGCTTGTGCTCGTACCAGTCTGTGTTATACAATGATAATCGAGATATGCGAGACATATTGCACAAGAAGATTGGTTAATCAAAGGGTCTGTTAGTTGAAACTAACGAAAAGAAGAAGACGGACCCACGTCACAGCTAGCAGATGGGTAGGTATAATAGCTGATACAATGCGAATCGAGCGGCCGTGTGTAGCTGTGATCTGCGATGTGATGAGCCATAGCAGCTAACAGTGTTTCATTTAGGCCGACTTGCAAATTCTACGATCTGCAACCCCTAGCCCTCGTTACAATCTCTAAATGAGCCATCAAGATTACTGTTTCAGCTTAGATATAACAGAGTGTCCCAAATCTAGTTCGTTCGTGCTCGATAGCGGTGCACAAATAACTCATGTTTGGTGGCGCAATTCGTGATGCAAAGTCTGGATACACTCGCATTCAGCTTACAAGGATCCACTCTCTCGGGGAACTACAGTGCCCGTGCACCAGATGAGCACCATCGCCAGTTGAGCACCCCCACCACCACAACAACAAAACTTCAACGCGTCAAAACTCAACCAATATGGATCCGATTCAAGAAGCGATTGCAGAAATCGAATCGCGAGAACCAGGAGATAAATTCTCGTATCAAGCAATCGCGAAAAAGCATGGTGTAGCACGAATGACGTTGATGAGACGACACCGCGGCGAAACTGAGGCCTATGGCGTGCGCAACCTCTCCCTCCATCCACAACACGAGAAGGAGCTTGTACGATACATCGATACGCTTACCGAACGACGTTTGCCACCTACGAAGGAAATGATACAACGCTTTGCTTC